TGCCCATTCTACCCAAAGAAGCCTGGTTAATGTGGCATTTCAGGTGAAGCCCCCAGCACATCCTCCTTCAGTTACTCAGCACTGCCTTTATATTCATGGAACTGTGAGCGAGCAGCTTCTCCCTAAAGCCTGCCATATCAGTCCAGCACATCCTTGAAGCATTTCTGCAGAGCAGCCTTGGCCCTCGCTCTGTGGTGGTTCTCTGTCAAATTTCCCAATCTCTTCACAGTTCTTAATGAACAGAGCCATCTGCGGCCACAGCCTGTGAAATCTGATTCTCTTCACACAGTCAGCAAACAGAGCCACTGGGATATGCTCAGGCAGCTCCCAGTAGGAAACCGTAAATGCATATAGCTTTGTCTAGGCAAAAATAAAATGAGCTCATTCATTCAAAACAAAACAATGAAAAGCATTGTATCACGTCAGCTGCAGGCTACCTAAGAAATTAGTTAAAATGTATCATAAATGTAGATCACATATTAAGTGATCTCTATGCACTAATTTGTTTATAATATAGCATCGAGGTATTTGTAAAATTCTATGGCACGTGTTTTGAACATGAAAACTTGTCATTTCTATAAAATCTTTCAAACTGCCTGTTTGGCAAATAAACTTGATTTCAGGGGAAATTCTGGTCTCTTGTGTGTGATCACGGTTATCCTCATGTTGAGGTGATCACAAAGCCCCAAACTGAGGGACCCTGTTAGAGGAGATCAATCATCATTGTAAGGCCAATTAGTAGACAGGGCAATAACTCATATTGGGAGAAGCATGCCTTTAGCTGCCATAAATGGAGGAACTCACAGTTGCAGCCACATCCCAGCAGCTCTGATCAGACTGCAGAGCTACCAAAAATCTAATCCGCATGTGTGGGGTAAAGCACAAGCAAGGGACAGAAGACTGGAAGCCACGGCGGAGAGGAAGTTGGCATAAAAAGCACTCTGCAAACATCAAAATTGTGTGCCAGCTAAGCAAAGCCAATGCATAAGCTATAATGTCTTCTAGATATTTTATTCACGATGATGAGCGTGATGAAGAACAAGAGGAGGAGAAGTTAGGCCTTCCGTCCTCCCTGGCCAGCCACAGTTCCAAACTGTACCATTTTTAAAGGTTTGATTAACCGTTCATGGCTTATCAGCATTATTCTTTGTAGCCTTCTGGCCATGCTCGTGCAGGGGTCCCCAACCCCCAGGCGGTGGACTGGTGTCAGTCTGTGGCCTGTTAGGAAACAGGCCCCACAGCAGGAGATGAGTGGCGGGAGCAAGCGTTACTGCCTGAGCCCCGCCTTCTGTTAGATCAGTGGTGGCATTAGATTCTCACAGGAGCGCAAACCCTGTTGTGAACTGCGCATGCGAGGGATCTAGGTTGCACGTTCCTTATGAGACTCTAACTAACGCCTGATGATCTGAGGTGGAGTCACCCTACCCCTGAAACCACCTTCCCCCCACACCCCCATCCATAGAAAACCTGTCTTCCATGAAAGCAGTCCCTGGTGCCATAAAGGTTGGGGACAGCTGGTCTAGTGTGTTAAAGGCCCCAGCAGATTACATCTTTCTGGTCAGGGTTATGAACTACACACTAAAATGTATGGTGACTAGGCCGGGCACGGTGGCTCACACCTGTAATCCTAGCACTTTGGGAGGCCAAGGCGGGTGGATCACCTAAGGTCAGGAGTTCAAGACCATCCTGGCTAACATGGTGAAACCCCGTCTCTACTAAAATTACAAAAATTAGCCCGGTGTGTTGGCAGGTGCCTGTAATCCCAGCTACTCAGGGGGCTGAGGCAAGAGAATCGCTTGAACCTGGGAGGCGGAGGTTGCAGTGGGCCAAGATTGTACCACTGCATTCCAGCATAGGCAACAGAGCAAAACTCCATCTCAAAAAAAAAAAAAGTATGGTGAGTAAAGAATCACCCATTTCATTTTTCACTGGGGAACCAAAATAATTTCCATCTTGTAAGTTACGACCATTTGTGTGGTTCTGCTCCATGGATGCTTCAAGAAAGTAGTTTTCAGACATTGGTGACACTCCATGGTAGGGGCCCACCAGCTGTGGCCCACAGACTAAACCCACTCCACTGCCTATCTTTGTCAGTAAAGCTTTATTGGAACACAGTCACACTCATTCACTTACCTACTCTCTGTGGCTGCTTACACACTATAATGGCAGTGTTGAGTAGCTGCAACAGAAACTGTATGGCCCACAAAGCCCAAAGTATTTACTATCTGTCTCTTTGAAGAAGAAAGAAATGAGACATTTAAGGACCTAGAGTAAGGACATTAGAGAATGTGGCCTTGCTCTCACAGTGTTGATCCTAGATCTATTTAGAAAATGCATGTGCCTGAAATATCTGCATTAGAGAAACTGAATTCATCCTCACACACATAAGGATTTTCTCTGTGCTCATTTCTCTAATCATCAAAATGATCCCATTTACCTTTACTTCTTAGTCCAGATCCGCCTGTATGTAGCATACAGATTATGCTGGGAATATGGTCCAGCTTTTCAAACTTGATTTATTACCTGAGCAGTTAGAAAAGCTACTTCAAGGACAACCAGGTATCATTGAAAGCAGCTCAGCTCAGCTGTCGGCCAGCTAAGAAGGGGCTGGCTGTGCAGACAGACTGAGAGAAGGAATCTGTGTAAGCAGAAAATGTGTGTTGTCCTCAAGAAAGGAAGGCCACCGCCACGCCAGGCAGGCTTAGCTTGAAAATAAGTATCAGCAGGCGTGAGAAATATGTTCCTGTTTTTGCAGCTGAAGCTAGATTCCAAGTCCTGCAGGAAAAGGTGGGGGCTGGAAGGAGGGTCGCCAACGAGTAAGAGCCAGATACTAGAACATGACTCCTTGGGCGCAAGACAGGCCTAGCCCCAAGACAGGTGGTACACAAATGGAGTGTCACACAGATAGGAAGAGATGTGGCAAGAGCTCTGGCAAATTGCAAAACCGTAGAATATGCTTGGAATGTGTGTAACACTGTGGTGAAGAGAGGCTGACAAATCCTCTACACGACACTTATTGCATGAAGAAAACATATCCATTTTACACACACACACACACACACACACACACACACACACAATCGATCTTCTGATCAGTGAAAGGAGCTACTGACAATGGTCCCTGTGTGTGGTCCATGTGCCTCTCCCATGAGTGGCAGCCACCTGAGAAGGGCGGCTTTCAGGACCCCGAGTGGCCATGTGTCCCCGTCTGCTGTGTGTGGGATTCTGCCTGCCAGGCACACCCAGCCTCCCAGTGACCTCTTGTTAGAGACACATCAGGTGGGATGCTGGCCATCGGCGGGCACTCTCCTGGAAGGAGGCGATGGCTCCTCTGACCGAGGGGAATGTTATACAATCAGTCATCCCCTCGGGATGGAGCTGGGTGTTTATTTTCACTGCAGGAGTTGGTTTGGCTGGTGCTCCCTGAGACGGACATTACAATCACGGGTGCAGGGCTGCAAGTAGGATCTGTCCAGGTTCTCCCTGGCCTCCAGCTGCGGCATTTCAGCATCAAGAAACTGCCTGCCCATGTGCTGGGGGTACTGGGGTCTCTGATGTCTGTCTGGCCTTGTATTGGGGAGGGTGAGGATGTATACACAGTGCATGTGTGTGTTGAATGTATTTGATGTGACCAGAATGTGAGAAAATAAAACAAAAAACCATAAGGAAGGGAAAAGAACATGGGCTAATGTGGACTAGGCTGAGATCTAATGGCAGATACGAGCTCTAAATTCAGCCTCTCTTTAAGTCTCCTATTTGAAAGCAGCTATCTCCACTCTCAAGGGCTCTCTCAAGCCATTGAGTAGATTAGCTGAAGAATTAGTGGAACATCATTTAAATTTATATATGTGATAAGGGGATTGGGAGGCTGAAGCAGGAGGATTGCTTGAGGCCAGGAGTTCAAGACCAGCCTGAGCAACATAGCAAGACCCCTCATCTCTACAAAAATTAAAACATTAGCTGGGCAGGGTGGCACACACCTATAGTCCCAGCTACTGGGGAGGCTGAAGTGGGAGGATCACTTGAGCTCAGCAGTTTGAGGCTGCAGTGAGCTGTGACTGAACCACTGTACTCCAGCCTGAACAACAAGCAAGACCCTGCCTCTTAAAAAACAATTTTTAAAAAAAAGGCCAGGTGCAGTGACTTATGTCCATAATCCCAGCACTTTGGGAGGCTGAGGTGGGCAGATCACCTGAGCCCAGGAGTTTTAGACCAGCCTGAGCAACATAGCAAAACCCTGCCTTTACAAAAACTAGAAAAAAAATTAGCCAGGCGCCTGGGAGACAGAGGTTGCAGTGAACCAAGATCGCACCACTGCACTCCAGCCTGAGCAACAGAGCAAGATCCTGTCTCAAAAAAAAAAGAAGAAGAAGAAGAAAAAAGAAAAGAGAAAAGAAAAGAAAAAGAAAAAAGTCTAAAAAAGAAAAAGAAAAGGATAAAGTCTATTTGAAACTTCCATTTTACTCTCCATTTTCCATTCTTTTCCTTCTTTCCCTTTCCTGTATAAACAGATCCTCTCCCGGATAAATAATTCATTCCATTACTTCCATCATTAAAATTCCATCTATCCTAATCTCATTATAATTAACCAATTTTCAAAGAACGGAAAAATACAAATCTAGACTGGTTAGACGTTCCTAAAATCTGCCATGCTGCTGTTAAAAAAAAAAAAAAAGTTTCGGGGGAGAGGAGAGGGTTCTCTTTGTTGTTGCGTCACATCTGCAGAAAAATGTATTTTGTGAAAGAGTACTGGGCCACAGGAAAACACTTAGAGATTAATGAGAGTATCTATATTCATACCATTCCTTTGGGCTACGAGGCTATTGGCTTAAAAATGAAGCTTTATGTTTAAATTTATGGACCGTGGGTCAGGAAAGAGTAGGGAAAATGAGACTTTTATTAAAGGAGAATTATAGAAAACTGAGCAGAATAATGCAGCCAAAACCCCCCTCCACTTGAGCATCTGAGACTTCTTGGGATTTTCGTGGTTTCATTTCCAGGTTACTAAATAGCATGAGATCTCATCTGAACTTGAGTTGTGGTTGTTTCCAGAAATAGAAGTTCAGAAGAGACTTTGGGAAACAGTTGGAAGGAAAACAGCTGTGGCCCCATTGAATGAGGAAGGAAAGGATCGGGATTCTTGCCACCCGTCTCCTGGCTTCTTCCCCACCCTCTAGCCTCAGCCCTCTCCTTGGGAAGTGTGATGACCCCAAGATGAGAGATTGGCCCTTTGTGCGTGACATTTAAAAAACATGAGCTGCACATGTTCTGTAGCTCCTAGGAGGAATCCACGTGTTGCAGTCAGAGACAGACATGGAAGGAGGCACCTTGTTGCCTATTTTTAACGTTTCATCCCTTGCCTATCTTTGAAAAATGATTGGTGGGCGCATGCGTTGTTTATTGAGGCCCAACTAAGCACAGGCATTGGAGAAATCTAGAACCATACTACTTTGTGAATAAATGAATGAATGATGACATGTTCCTGTTGTCTGGGCTGTGCATATCAACCTAACCACAATATTGCCCATGACAGTCCCTCTCAATAGCAAACCCCAGAACTTCCTCTCTTTATCTGATCACTCTTTGTCCTTGCCCCAGAGTGCTGTAATCATCAGAAGCAACTGCTTGGAGAAGTAAGGACAGTAAGTACAGTGATACCTAGGGTAAGCCTTCAGTTAAGGAAAGGAAATCTGGATGTCCACCACCCTCTGAATCTCAGCAAAGACCTGCTGTAGACTCAGCAGAGCCTAAACATGCCCACAGTGGTGGGCATGTTCGGTGGGTGTATCCTGGGTCCACCAGCAGTCTCCTTTCCTGCAGGAGGTCAGCTGCATGGACGTGGACATCTGTGCCTCCACACTGGGCAGTGGCAGTGATTAGGCATTGTCAGGAGACCTCACTGAAGGGCTAAGACAGTAAAGGAGGAAAATGCCCAATGCCATTTGATAATGGCAGGACTTGATTTGGGGCACACATTAAAAACCAACTGGGGTGGCTGGGTGCAGTGGCTCACGCCTGTAATCCCGGCACTTTGGAAGACCAAAGCAGGCAGATGGCCTGAGGTCAGAAGTTCAAGACCAGCCGGGCTAACATGGTGAAACCCTGTCTCTAGTAAAAATACAAAAATTAGCCAGGCATGGTGGCAGATGACTTGTAGTCCCAGATACTCGGGGGGCTGAGGGAGGAGAATCACTTGAACCTGGGAGGCAGAGGTTGCAGTGAGCTAAGATTGCAACACTGCATTCCAGCCTGGGCAATAGAGCAAGACTCCATTACAAAAATAAAATAAATAAAATAAAATAATTTTTTTTAAAAAAAACAACTGGGATATCCCAGAATTAATTGAGATACTTTGCAAACATTACAGGTTATGTATTTTTGTGACATGGAAAATTGTTATTTGTAAGTCATCTGAATATTTTTTGGCTTAGTCCTCTTAGTTGGAATATTGGGCCCAGTGTAACTTTCTACCCTTAAAGAGAAATGGTGCAAATCTGATTGCCATTATCTGTCACTGTTGATTGCCAGGATTGATGTGGTTATATGACTATCAAAGCAAATGTCTCCTTCCTCTTTGGATATCCTTTGTGTCTCAAATCTGAATACCTTCATCAAAAAGGAAGACGTTCTCTATCATGATCTTCCCATCAGTCAAGGTTCCAGCAGGAAACAGATGGTTCCTAATTATGATAACCTGAGGAGGGCTTATTTACAACAGAACTAATTATAAAGGTGTGGGCAGGCTCCAGAATCCTTCTCAACACAGAGCTCCAGGCTGCCTTAACCAACCAACCAGAGTTGACAAATGAACTGTACCTGTTTTTGAATGTGACTCATGTAGTTGCATCTTCCATAAGAGCCAAGAAAGCAATAGACTACTTATCTATTTTTATATAAAGACATTATAGATAGGCAGGAAATTCTCATATGCAACAAGTTAAGAGAGGACATAAATTCTGAACTGAGAAGGACCCACCTCTTAGCTGCCCAAGGCAGGAAACCAACACATCTCTGTATTAGTCCATTCTTGCACTGCTATAAAGACATGCCTGAGACTGTGTAATTTATAAAGAAAAGAGGTTTAATTGGCTTCTGATTCTGCAGGCTGTACAGGAAGCATAGCAGCTTCTGCTTCTGGGGAGGCCTCAGGAAGTTTCCAATCATGGCAGAAAACAAAGTGGGTGCAAGGTGTCATACATGCCAGGAACAGGAGCAAGAGGCAGTGAGGGGGAGATGCCACACACTTTTAAACAAGCAGATCTCATGAGAACTCATTCACTATCAGGAGAACAGCACCAAGGGGATGGTGCTAACCCATTCATAAGAAATGGCCCCCATCATTCAGTCACCTCCCACCAGGTCCCACCTCCAACACTGGGTATTACAATTGAACATGAGATTTGGGTAGGGACACAGATCCAAACAATATCATTCTGCCCCTGGTATCTCCCAAATCTCATGTCCTTCTTAAATTGCAAAATAAAATCATTCCTTCCCACCAATCCCCAGTCTTCACTCATTCCAACATTAACTCAAAAGTTTCATCTGAGACAAAGCTGGTCCCTTCTGCCTATGAACCTGTAAAATCAAAAACAAGTTAGTTATTTCCCAGATACAATGGGGGTATAGGCATTGGGTAAATACTTCCATTCCAAAAGGGAGACATCAGCCAAAAGAAAGGGGCTACAGGCCCCATGTAAGTCCTAAACCCAGCAGGGCAGTCATTAAATCTTAATGCTCCAAAATCTCTTTTGACTCCATGTCCCACATCCCAACCATACTGGTGTGGATGGTGGGCTCCCAAAGCCTTGGCCAATGCTGCCTCTGTGGCTTTTCAGGGTTTAGCCTCCACAGCTGCCCTCATGGACTGATGTTGAGTGCCTGCGGCTTTTCTAGGCACAGGGTGCAAGCTGCCAGTGGATCTTCTGGGGCCTAGAGGACAGTGACCCTCTTCTCACAGCTCCACTAGGCAGTGCCACAGTGGGGACTCTGTGTGGGGGCTCCAACCCCACATTTTCCCTCTGCGCTTCCTAGTAGAGATTCTCTGTGAGGGCTCTGCCCCTGCAGCAGGCTTTTGCCTGGACACCCAGGCTTTTCCATACATCCTCTAAAGTCTAGGCCTCAACTCTTGTACTCTGCACACCCACAGACTTACCACCACATGGAAGCCACCAAGGCATACAGTTTGCACCCTCTGAAGCAGCAGCCTGAGCTGTACCTGGGCCCCTTTGAGCCATGGCTAGAGCTAGAGTGACTGAGATGCAGGGAGCAGTGTCCCAAGGCTGCACAGGGCAGTGGGGCCCTAGGCCTGGACCATGAAATAATTCTTCCTTCCTAGGCCTCTGGGCCTGTGATGGGAGGAGCTACTGTGAAGGTCTCTGAAATGCTTTCCAGGTCTTTTCCCCATTGTCTTGGCTATCAGCACTTAGCTCCTTTTTACTTATGCAAATTTCTGCAGCCTACTTGAATTCCTCCCCTGAAAAAGGGCTTTTCTTTTCTACCACATGACCAGGCTGCAAAGTTTCCACTTTTACCCTGTTTCCCCTTTAAATATAAGTTTCAGTTTTAGGTCATTTTTTTGCTCATGCAGGTGAGCATATATTGTTAGAAACAGCCAGGCTACATTTTGAATTTGGCTGCTTAGAAATTTCTTCTGCCAGATACTCTAAATCATCACTCTCAAGTTCAAAGTTCCACAGATCCCTAGGGCAGGGGCACAGTGCAGCCAAGTTTTTACTAAAGCATAACAAAAGTGACCTTTGCCCCAGTTCCCAATAAGTTCCTCATTTCCATTCGAGATTTCATCATCCTGGCCTTCACTGTCCATATCACTATGAGCATTTTGGTCACAGCCATGCAACTAGTCTCTAGGAAGTTCCAAATATTCCCTCATCTTCCTCTCTTCTTCTGAGCCCTACACACTCTTCTAATCTCTGTCCATTACCCAGTTCCAGAGTCACTTCCACATATCCAGGTATCTTTATAGCAATACCCCACTCCTCAGTTTCAAACTTCTGCATTAGTCGGTTCTTGAACTGCTACAGAGAAATACCTGAGACTGGGTAGTTTTTAAAGAAAAAAGATTGAATTGGCTCCTGGTTCTGAAGGCTGTACAGGAAGCATAGCAGCTTCTGCTTCTGGGGAGTCCTCAGGAAGCTGCCAATCATGGCAGAAAACAAAGGGGGACTGAGGCATCTTACATGGCAGGAGCAGGAGCAAGAGAGAGAGGAGGCGGTGCCACACACTTTTCAACAACCAGATCTTGTGAGAACCCATTCACTATCAGGAAAACAGCACCAAGGGAATGGTCCTAAACCATTCATAAGAAACCACCCCCATGATCCAGTCACCTCCCACTAGGCTGCACCTCCAACACTGGGTATTACAACTGAACATGAGATTTGCGTGGGGACACAGATCCAAACCATATCAATCCCTAACTTCATAGAGCTTTATTACACATCATAATCATCTTTCTAATTCCCACCCATCCAGCACCTTATCCGGAAAACATTCAACAGATATATCTTAAATCATATTGAATTGAGTAAAATTGAAATAAAATGAATACTAAATAAATGTTAAACCCATTGGTCTAAATTATAGCTATTGACTCCTGTGGGATCTTCTTATTTCCACAGGAGAGAAGACAAATCTCACTTTTTCCCCTGTAGATGGAGGCTGATACTTTGCGCATGCTATTTCTTTCCTTATTGCTCAGTGACCTCCGTCTTCTCAGTAGAGTGAGATGCAGGCTGTCTCCAAATCTTCACATCTCTCTAACCTTACACCTGCTTGCATGTCCACCCACATATTGAAGCAGCCTCCTTCAACATTTTATGATAGCATCTAGAGCTGTTGTTCTCAAACTTTAGCATGCACATGCATCTCCTGGAGAGAGCTTATAAAAACAGCACAGATGGCTGTGCCCCACTCTCAGACCTTCTGATTCAAGCCAGTGGTTTGCAGGTTAAAGAGCACCCAGGTGATGCTGATGCTGGGGTCCACGCTGTGAGAAGCACTGACTTGGGATTGTTCACAATCCTCACTGCAGGTTT